GAGGTCAAAGAACTTCAAGTCGGCAAACTCGGAGTCGGCAAACTTGAGGTCTGCAAACTCGAGGTCAAAGAACTTCAAGTCAGCAAACTCGGAGTCGGCGAACTCGAGGTCGGCGAACTTCAAGTCAGCAAACTCGGAGTCGGCAAACTCGAGGTCAAAGAACTTCAAGTCAGCAAACTCGGAGTCGGCAAACTTGAGGTCGGCGAACTCGCGGTCGGCGAACTTCAAGTCAGCAAACTCGGAATTGGCAAACTTGAGGTCAGAGAACTCGGAGTCGGCGAAACATCGTGCGGGCGCCTTCGGCGATAACAGATAACAAGCCTTCGACAGTGTGCCTTCGGCGAAGGATAAAACCGGCATAACTCTTTCAACTCGTAACGGTTTGACTCAGTTAGGGTCTCGTTAGAAAGAACTCAACGCGCTCGTTCCAACGAGCCCAAGAACTCTTGAAACGGATCAAGGATCTGTGAGTTATGGGTGTTGGGAGTGACTGTTACAAATAGGCAAAGGTGCGGAAGTGCGTCTTCGGCGGTCAACGCCTTCGGAGAACTCGGAGTCGGCGAACTTGAGGTCGGCGAACTTCAAGTCGGCAAACTCGAGGTCGGCAAACCGGATGCGGTTCAGAGATCTTGCGGAGTCCATATCTCTGCGATGGACGGTCGGATGGATCTGAAATTTGGTGGGGCCGTTGATCTCAGTCGGCCACGCATGCCTGCAAATATTCAGCCTCAGATCTCGGATGTAAAGACGCTGGCGGCTCTTTACAGTAGGCTTAGGATTCAGATTTAGGGTTAGGGTTAGATTTAGGTTGTAAGTTAGAGGGGAAGGTAGCCGCCGACTCCTCAGGTGTAGGATCTGTTGCGGCTCGCACCCTAGCGGGTAGCGTAGTGTTAGTTAGGACCTTAGAGAGTATAAAGTAGTTCAAGGCGTTTTGCCCTGGGACTCTTCCAGTTTCGGAAGTGCAGATCAGGAACTCACTTTCTTGGCGTGTTTGTGCATTTTGGTCTTGGCACCACGTAGAGAAGCTGCAGCATAGCGAAGTTACGGTATGTTGTACTTGAAGGCCTTCGGCTAAATGTTCAGAGCTAGCACCCGATTAAAGACTTGAGTAGTGCGGATCTGCACCTGCGGGTGATTTCTGATGCTCAGAGCCGGCTGCGAGTTAGAGACTTGAACAGTTCCCCCTTACTCCTTCGAGTGACATATCCTAATTGTACTCCTACGGGAAGTTTCCCCTGAATGCCAAAATGAAGTTTTATTACTTCGTGTAAGCCTTGGTTTGCAATTCAGGTTGTGTGTGTGTGTTACTGGATTGTGTCTCAGTTAAGTTCTCAGTCGGGCCTGTACCCCCTGCGTTTGGTGTGAGTCGAGAGTGACGTCCACAGCGTATGAAGGGGCTTCGTTCCGAAGTGGGAAGTCCAGTCCGGGTTCCCTACGCTAGTTCCTGGCGGAAGGGCAGTAAAAGCCGGAGTGGGAGTCACTACCTGCAGAGCCTCTGAGTGAACTTGTGAAACATTTTCCCCCTGAAATCCGAAGCGGAGGTCCTGACCGACCTCCGAGTTGTGCTTTTGCCAGTTTCAGGTGTGTGTTGAGTGACTACGCTGTATTGTGCATCCTCCGAGCATCCTCCGAGTCGAGTATCCTCCTCCGAGTCGAGCCTCCGAGTCGAGCACTGCAGTATTTCTGGGAGTGACAATCGCCTGAGAATTCAAACTCTACAAAAGTCTGTTAAACGTGACACTTTTACTCTGTGTGTTGCCTCTGTCCCTGTGGGTTCGATCTTTTTACCACCATACTGCAATTTTAGCCTTTGGTGGGTTATTACAGTGTAGCAGAGCCAAACATTGGGTGCCCATGCCCATGGGTTTTGAGTGACATTATTTTTCCTTGGGTGGACACAAGTAATGCTAAGCTAAGGACAGTCTTTGTCAAGATGCAACCAAGAATTGGTGTAATTTGAATAGCATGGGTGGGCACAGGTAATGCTATGGGTGGACTTAGGTAGCTTCTGATGATTATGGTATGCTCTGGGTGCAGATTTGAAGTAAAATGTTGGCCTCTGCCGTTTAGGTCATGTGCTGTCCTGAAGATAAGGCCTTCCTAATTTGATGTCCCTACAAACCAAAAAACAAGTCGGAACAAGTCACACACTGATCATAATTTTGCACATACTTTAAGACAACATAATATCCCTTTTCACTCATATATAGGTATACTATATCGGCTAGCTTCTTTCTTTCACAGTTGTTTGATTCGGTTCACATCTGCAACTAGTAGTTCATCATTTATTATCTCCGTAATGTAACGATATAGTCAGTGACCGTCATTCAGAATCACCATCAAGATCTTTCCGTTGTGAGGTAATGCTGCATCTTTCTGAGCCTTATCGAGGCCAACTGTGTGATTTCTTGCATGGCATTCTCAAGTCAGAAGATCCTGTTGATTCTTGGAATTTTGTCCCAACTACAGCCATTTCAGTATGATGGAAAGTTTCAATTTTCAATTAAGCTTCACTTTTACATAATCTTTAACTTCTAGAATCTTTTGCAAAAATTACCTTAGCTTGACGACCGTCTTATGTAAGGGTTGGATTAGTGTTGAACAATATAACGTGCGGAACAGTTTGAGGCATAATTACAATAAATATATATATATATATATATAAAAATTTATATACACACATATATAATTGTATGTTTTCAAAGAATCAAAAAGAGTCAAATTACACACTAAGTGGTTTCTCTTGAATTTATCAGTTTACAATCTTTAAATGGAATAAAATCAATGAGGAGGCTTGTGTGAGCGAGTGCCCACTAACTATGCTTATACCTCTTCATGTAGTATTCATTAATCAAAATCTCATCTATTTTTTTATGGTGCAAGAAAATATGGTAATCAAAACAAATTAATGCTAGTGGCGAGCATCGACAACTCATGGTTAGAGCAACCTTTCATGTACCAAGTCAACGATAAACACAAGGTACGGGAACAATTCAGACATGGATTGTGCCCGTACAAGATCTTACGTTCAGAGAATATCATAAAACGTTGAGATCCGGAAAACGAGGCACGCTTGCTTGATAATTCCGCATTTCCACCCACATTCCATATATCTGTTTTGGCTTCAGGGGAGGGAGATCATAATAACGATGTCGAGTGGTTGTGGTTGTCTATGCTGCGATATCTGGTAAATTTTATGATCTTGAATGTGATAAGTTCCTACATATGCAGACAAGACTGCACGAAGTTCTGTCTCCTGCAGGTATGACATCCCATGCTTCGACTCACTTCTATCGGAACAAATAAAGTCACGACCACCTTAGAAAAAATATAGGGGTTGGCTCAGAATAATTCTCGTAATTCTCTCAGGCTCAGAAACCAAAGTATGTGTTTATATGGTCAATGAGAAGACTCGAGTGTCGACCAAAACAAGAGGAAACCAATCAGTGAGCCCACGTGTTTGTCTCTTGTTCAAACCTCTAGGCTGGAAGGCCCATCAAACCCTCGGATCTACAGGGAAGGTTTTGTACCTTCTACATCTGCTGATCTCTAGCCAGAATACATAGCAGGTTGAGGGCAAGTCAGATTATCTATTCATACAATAAACAACTTAATTCCCATGATTCTCAAAAGGTAATAGAAATGTTGGAGAATGACGGGACATGGCCAATCAATATTTTTGGAGCGAATCTGCACGCGTGAGCCAGCTTGGTCTGAATCTGATACTGGATAATTCTACTTCATGCACCTCGTGCCTTAACTTCAGGCAAGGAAATAGTGACGTGGCTTGCATCATGATCGAATGCATGAACAGAGCTGTCTGTCTATTTATTTATCTATTTATATTTATTTCATCTGCAGTATGGATTTATAATTGTCATTTTGCAAATCATGGCAAGGGATGAGTTATGGTCTATATACTGCCCACGCAATGCGACATCAGATCATTCCCTTTGATTGTACTTGTAAAAGGTTGAGTTTGATGTGCTTTCAGGAAATTATTCATTCCTTTTTCTCAAACTAAAAGACACTGTTCTGAGGATAACGCACTATTTCAAGATACATGGATGTTGTTCTAAAAACAAGGAGTTTCTATATTTGATACTTTCGTCCAATTACAGAAGAAACAGTTTTTGAGATTATTGAATTCTCCCTCGGATTTTCAAGAAACCGGAATTTTCCATTTGCTTAACGTGGGCCTTCATCTGAGCTCTGACATTATCAGGTTGAAGCCTTTTGACCTTCTATATATGACACCATGATACTTGCCTCAAGAGATTCGATTTCATGGCACCATATCTTTTGCGACGGTTTATAGATAAAACATGCTTAGGGTTGTAATGACAATTGACCCTGCACAGAGATGGGATCGATACATCCAATATACTGGACGGAAATTAATATAAATCAAGTACCCATACACACTGTTTTCTTTCTGCTTGAATTAAGGTGAGTCTAAGCTCCTTTTTAGTTAAGGGCATGATACATACAAGAAAACCAAGATATTGAGGCCGTCGTCAGCTACCCAATAATATCAGTTTTCAAATATTCCTGCTGGTCATGCATCGGAAGAAAACCAAAGTGTTAATCGACGTGGTGCCCCTCTCAAAAGACGAGGACCCCATCGAACATTTCTTAAGGTATTTTTCTATGTGACTTCTGAGCTGGATATTCCATACGAGTTTAAGTTGCAAACTAATCATTCAGGCCAAAGGGCAACGTCTTGTGTCAACCGAGGGCGTCGACACAAAATTTCTCCAGATGCAACGTTGTCTGTCGCATGTAGACTGTGCAAGCCTTGTATTTACGTATGCAAGTCTCCGAATACACATCCTCAGCATGTGACAGATCCATCTCCGAGTTTACATCACATAGCGAGTTTTTTTCTGAAGGCATTATCGAGGCCAGTTATCACTCGTACATGAAAGTATCCCCTGCACGATAAAATAACATGGCTACATGCGCAAGCAGCTGTTGATTGCACCATCAGTATAAATATATCCAATTTGTAATAGGTCATCATCACCGGCTCAATTTTCCGAGCCAAACTGGATCTCCTTGCATCGATTGCCATCAGCAGGTACCAATCCTTCTGCAACACTTTTTTCGAAATGAGTAAGAGTATTGTATACATTACTCACAGAGTCTTCTGAACACTGTCTAGATCAATGATTTAGACTGAATCTTCTGATGTATTCACTGAAGAGTTAGATTCAAATTCATTGTCTACGCTTCTAACTGTATCATTCCATGTTCTGCGAGTAGCCTAGTTTCAGGAGGCAAAGATGGCATCAGCAAGCGCCACCGGCTACAATGCTCTTCTGGTGAGCATTGTACTTTTGGCGACAGTGTGTGAATGCACTGCGGAGACTCCTTATGCGGCTGGTCTGTCTGAGGACTTTTACCAGAAAACTTGCCCTCAAGCAGCTTCCATCGTCGATGCGTATGTCACCAAGTTCCTCAGAAAGGACAGAAACTTTGCTGGTGCCTTTAACAGGTTGCAGTTCCATGATTGCTGGGTCGGGGTAAGAAATCTTGTTCCACACAACTATAATGCGAGCATGATATGTACCTACTGCCATTCTACTGAACATTCTCAGAGCAGTCTTCTCAGTGGGAAAATGATTTCCCGGGCTTTTGAAAAACAAAAGCATTGTTGTCACCGTGGTCGGTTCAAGAATGTGTTGCTGATTAATTTTTCATGAAATCCAGGGCTGCGATGGCTCTGTTCTCTTGAATTCGACCGAAACAAACCAAGCGGAGAGGGAAGCTCATGTCAACTTCGGGCTCAGAGGCGTAGCAGAGGTCGATCAAATCAAGGCAGCCCTGGAACATTCCTGCCCAGGAGTTGTATCTTGCGCCGACATTCTGATCATGGCTGCTCGTGATGCCACAGCCAAGGTTATTTCCAACATATGCAATACTTTGTTCTGCATTCATGAAAGCCAGACGTCTGCGGAATTATTTGAAATGTTTGAGCATAAATCTGCCCACCTCACAATTTTGAAAGCATTTTTGTGCCATATTGAAACCTGTAGGTTGGAGGCCCCAGTTGGCCAGTCGCTATGGGTCGCAGAGACGGCGTGAACTCCTCATCCTTGATGGCTGATAGCAATCTACCATTTCCTGTGCTGAACTTCAGCGGGCTGGTTGCTAACTTTGCTGGCAAGGGGTTCAATGCAAGAGAGATGATTACACTCTCGGGTAATCAATTTGCCGCCATCATCACATATACATAAATAATTAATTTTTACTCTTTGTACCTTACATCCCTGTACGACCTGATGAGCTCTTTCCATCCTTTCTCGTTCTAGGCAGCTATTAATCGTTTAATCACAAGATATGGTTTCCGCTTTTTCCGCTTTTGGTTTCCGCTCAATCTCTGACTCGATTCATCTACTCCTGTATTAATAGTCTTATTCGGATACATCTCTGAACTAGCAAATGCAGTGACGTCGGTTGCATCACTGCATTCGTAGACTGACACCAAGCCTCAGATTTAGACCTGACCAGATACGCTTCTTCATGTTTTGCAGGTGCACACACTATTGGTCGGACCCACTGCAATGGAATCCTCCCACATCTTTACAACTTCACCGGAAAGGATGACGCCACAGACACCGACCCAGCCATGAATAAGAACTTCGCTGTCTTTCTCAAGAACCATTGTCCTCAGGGTAACAGGACAAACACCATTTTCATCGACTCCACAGCTAACACCTTCGACCGTGCTTACTACAAAAATGTGCTGCAGGGCAAGGGTATTTTCATCACAGATGCCGCTCTCATTACCAATCCTGCAGGCAAGAAAGTCGTCACCACGTTCTCGAAACCTGGCTCTGCCTTCTTCACAGAATTCGCCGCTGGCATGGTGAAGATGGGAAATCTGGGAGTGCTCACTGACACGGAGGGGCAAATTCGCAGGACATGTCAATTCGTAAATTAAAAGGCCATTCTAGAGTTTCAAGACACTTAAGATTAGTCAGAATAGCAGAAGTTAGGAGAACATGAATACTCTCAGCACCATGGTCACATTCATAGAGTAGCTACATTCATTCACCCTTTTATTGGTTGGAGCTCAGAATAAGCTCCAGTTGTAGATGCACGACGATTTCGCCCTGCGGTGGTTTTTGAGCTTGCTCTTTATGGACTTGAGCCACCAAACGTGGGACCGGGATGCACGACATTGTCTACATCTGGAACGAAGAGCTTGGCTCAAAGGAGATTCCAGAGCTAGGCTACGGATATTCAAATCTAAGTTTCTCCCGAGACTGAAAATTTTGACAAGAATAAACAAACTAAGCGGTCCCTGAATGACTCGATAAACAATTTTGTGGATCTTCCCATTTTGTAAACTGAGACATCTCGATTCAGGTATCGAGTGGCGAAGATTCTTTAGAATTTCATGGATTGATGAGTGTATGGCTTGATGTTTGGATACACTGGTGAGTCCTTCCAATATAGATCTCCTCATACAAAATTACTCTAGCACTTCCAAGTGAAAATATATATTTTTTTTATTACGAGATTGGCTCTGTGGGGGCAGGAAATACAAATCAGCTCCCATATCTTGACCTGAATTGAACAACGTCACTACCAAAGAGCTTATATCCTACAGTACACTGATGCTGTATACTATACAGTGTACTGAAGGATACTATATACGTTGGATTCTATCAAAAATGTTACAATAATACGATGTATCTAATAGACTATGTACACAAAACTTTTTGAGTAATGTTGACGATACTCGTACTCATCTCTAGAACACTGTTGCATAAGGATCAATAACTTCTCAGGGCAATAGTTTCAAGCAGAATCAGTTTGGCTCGAACAAAGAGACCTTGTTGATGACCTTCTACAAAGTGGATGCAATTTTACTGCGATTGCAATAAACAATTGCTTGCGCACGCAGCCATGAATTCGAATCGTGCATGGGATCCTTATAAATAGGAATTACAACTGGCCTCGATAGTGTCTGCAGAAAAAAGTTGGTGCTGATGTCACTCGATCTCTCACATTCTTCAGAAGTGTATTGGGAAAGTCTTGACTTTGTCTCCATCTTTGAATTATTTTAATGTTTGCATAGTCCACATGCTAGAGAGATGGTAGCATCTGCAGAGAGTATCCACTAGTATCCACAGTTTGTGCAGACGCCCTCGGGTGAAAGAATAGGTTGCCTTTTAGATATAATATGCAACGTGATCTCTCATACAACATACTGCTCAGTAGTCACAAACAAGAACCTCCGCGAAGGCTTGACGGAATCTGGAATCATGTAATCATCACCTGGAAGCATGTTTGATCCATACATCAATGCCACAGCTTTAGTACCATGAAAATTGTATTTGGAAGTCAAGTAATAATTCCTGTAAGGTTTACGAAAATTCTTCAAACTGATAAAACTCAGCCTTTGAGCTCACAGGAAGGTCCAATTTCCTGTTAAAATTAAAAAATTAAAAATACCAGCTTTTGCAGAGGCGAAACCAAAGTTCAGTGGTTTATGATCTCAGATAATTTGACTTTCGTGATTAGAAAAAAGTAATTAAAATCTATCTGCATTTTTCCAAAACAACATATATTTATCAAGTCAAATTGCGTTATCTTGAGTAGTGTCGCGCTGAAATAAGCAACGCAACCGGTTCTAAAGCTGGCTGGTGGGTACAGTACTTAAGATTTGACACTCTCAAATCACTTGAGATTCGCTACAATGTGAACAAAACCAAACGAAAAGCGTCTCAGTGAGCATCAACGCTGCGAAACCATCTCTAGCCTAACCAAAACAAATGCTCGGAGTAAAAAGTACAGCGTTAGTCAAGGCGACATCCGAAAGGTGTGGACAAACGGCTAACGGAGAAGACACCTCGAGCTTCCGTTGTACAATATACTGAGGTTTCTACTATCTTTCCAAGCAGGTTCTCGACATAATGGATCACCTGCTCTTCTCTCAAGTTGATGCAGAAACAGAGGATCACCTGCTGTTCACCCAAGTTAATGCAGAAACAGAGTAAACAATCACTGACGTTGAATCATTTCAGAGCAAGATCTGGACGATAGTTTTCGAAGCCACACGCACAAAAATTACGATAAATGATGAGTCAGTCAGTACATGTTCAATTAATAAATATTCAACCTTAAAATGTTCACACTTTATCGAGATGCGTACTTAGACGGGAGACTACTATAATCTTATTGAATGAAGGTACTTAGACGGGAGACTACTATAATCTTATTGAATGAAGGAATAATGTATACAGAAAAGCACTCGTGTTAATCATTGGGAGTGCATCAAACTCATCATTGAAATTCACTGGTGAGATCCTACAAGTACAATAAATATAAATGCGTGGGTACTATTCACTATTCATCGACCAAAACAATCCCTTCCAGATTCAACCCATGATTTGCGATGAATGAAATACAGAATTATGAATATAATTATGTTTATTAATCATATGCATTTTAATTGTTATCTTTTTCTGTGCATATATTGAATCGAAAGTCGTGATTAAGAGCTCGTCACTGTATGCTTGCCTGCAGTGAAGGTGCGAGCTGCATGAAGTAGAGTTATCCGCAATCAGATTCAGACTCAAACCAAGCTTGTTCACGCCACGCAGAATTTCTCGGATTTGCCGACTCACGTCATTCTCCAGGATTTCTGATACCTTTCGAGAATCATGGGAAATAAAGAGTAGGGTATAGAAAGAGATACAAAATAAGTACGAATCGGAATTGCCCTCAACCTGCAACGCTATCTGGCTAAATCTCAGCTGAGCCTAAAAATTCTTTAGATTGTACGAGAGAGTCCCTTTAGGGCTATTATTACAGAATTTCAGAAGAATCACTGTATCCAGGAGACTGTATAAAGCTCTTCCGAATGTAGTTTTCTAGCCCGTCTTGTACTTCTGGGGATTTAACAATTGCCATTTTGGTGCAACAAAAGTGAAACGAAGAGTTCGTCTACATCCAGACATTCAGTATTAGCGCTATTTATCCGCATAGACAATTCATCCACCAGAAAACGCTTCGACTCTTAGACGTAAAAGTAATTGGGTTACGGGCCAGTCCGGAAACAATGCTATATACTTCTCCAGCGCAAGCACTGATTTCATGTCTACCTTGCACGTTACGTATAGCTTTCATTTCTGTATGTACAAAGCAGAAATGGCTGTCAAAATCATATGATCCACTCGTTGAAGCACATAAGAGTCGTTTTATAATTGAAGCAATGCCTTTATCCTGGTCATTGTAGCGAGCCAACTCGGGCTGTCTTTTTAACATGTACATTGTTATTGAGCTTTCAGTTTGTTGATGTAGTTCCTGACGTCAGATGTTTCTCACGATATGTTTTGTCCTCTGACTTCAGCTCGAACGGTACAAGCACCCTTGAGAGTGCATGAGTCGATACGGCTGTTCGTCACACGATCATTTTTAAACAGTCAGGGCAAGAATCCAGCGTTTCTCATGCGATGTGCAGTCCATTGCACGCTCAGGATAAGCGCGGAAGCACATACCCACTATGCCCCCACGCGGCCCACTGAATAACATCATGGAAGGGACATAGCTCTTTATGAACACTTGAAACATCTACAGCATTTACAAAGCTCTAACTTCTTCATTTCCTTCCTAAAGTATACAATGGGAGGCATCACATTTTGTACTCCACCGCACATGCAGTACAAGGTGATCCTAAGATCGTGGTCTTTTGGAGTGTATTCCGATTCTGGAGAAGTTCCCATCAAGCGACTACGTACATATTGAAAGGAATTCTTAATTGCAAAGCAAGATTTCGAATGTTCTGAAAACTGAAGATGATCACTGTCAGATCCAGAAGCGACTGAGATAGAGCAATTTGAGGCTTCACAGGAGATTTTCATTTCTTCCATGCGTGTCAGTCGAATCTGGATCCACTCTCAACAAACAATACTTCCTGCATTCACGAACACATGTAGGAAAAGCGCAAGCTAGCCAGCAGATGATTCGGAAAAGTTTCAGCTTTCCAATTTTCTTTATTTTAAAAGAATATCCAGCCCTTGCAGGAATATCAATGTACATTCCCTTGAAAGCGACTGGAGACAATTTGCTCAACTTTTTCCAGTTTGAATCTGGTGTAGATACTCATTCCAATCTTGTGTTTCCTAGCTCTCGTGCATAGTGAGCACTGTACGCAAGTGGGAAATCCTCGTGGATCTAACTGGAGCTTATTCTGAACTTAAGCAAATGAATCAAATCATCCTACCTATGCCATGAATCTGTTTTGAGCCGTGAGGTATTTAGTCATCCTACCTGCTGTTGCAACACTAATTTGATACTATTTGGAAACTTTGGAACAAATTCCTAATTCACGAACTGGCACGTCTTGCGGATTTCACCTTCAGTTCCAGTGAGAACCCCGAGGTTTCCCATCTTCACCATGCCTGCTGCAAATTCTGTGAAGAAGCTGGAGCCAGGCTTTGAAAACGAGCGAACAACTTTCTTTCCCAAAGGGTTGGTAATGAGGGCGGAGTCTGTCATGAAAATTCCCTTGCCGTGCAGCACGTTTTTGTAGTAGGCACGGTCGAAGGTGCTTGCTGTGGAGTCAATGAAGATTGTGTTCGTCCTGTTACCCTGAGGACAAAGCTTTTTAAGGAAGACAGCGAAGTTCTTATTCATGGCAGGGTCCGTATCGGTGGCATCATCCTTTCCAGTGAAGTTGTAGAGATGTGGAAGGATTCCATTGCAGTGGGACTGACCGATAGTGTGTGCACCTGAAAATCAAAAAAAATCCGAACGGATGAAACATATCCTCATGCTGTCTATCCTCTGGGCTGAAAATTCTTTCTACTATCTCCATTGAGGCAAAAGAAGTTACTCCAGCAGCTAAGTTTTTAAGGTCATAGATGCATACGAACTTTGTGTATAATAAGCCTTGAAACCTTACAACACGCATTCATGAGTTTCAAAGCGAAAGTGGCTTCTCAAACTTTCAGCAAGAATATCAGAACGCTCATGGCAACAATTCTCAGACCTGAAAGAGTTATCATTTCTTTTGCACTGAATCCCTTGGCGGCAAAGTTAGCAACAAGCCCGCTGAAGTTCAGCACAGGGAAGGGTAGATTGGTATCAGCCATCAAGGCTGTGGAGTTCACTCCGTCTCTGCGACCCATAGCGACTGGCCAAGTGGGGCCTCCAACCTGTTTGATTTAAGAAGAGGAAAACATCGTTAAAGCATAGTGAGATGGGCAGATTCTATCGTGAAAATTTTCACAAAGGCTGGATTTTAACATATGTGAAGGAGATAGTGATGGTTCGATTTACCTTGGCTGTGGCGTCACGAGCAGCCATGATCAGAATATCCGCACAGGAGACGACACCAGGGCAGAAGTATTCTAGACCTGCCTTGATTTCATCGATCTCCGCAACTCCTCTGAGACCGAAGTTAACATGAGCTTCCCTCTCGGCTTGGATGCTCCCGGTCGAGTTCAACAGAACTGAACCATCACAGCCCTGGAGGTCCAGTCCGAGTAGTACGTGTGGTTATGAACTAATCGCTCGAGAACAGAATCCAATAACGAAAGCTTAAGTATTGGTCTAAAAGCTCAGGAAATACATTATGGCCTAGGAGAAACTAAAACTCCTGACATTATTGACCTCCAAAACGTGGATTTCACCAGATGGTAGTACAGAAGAGGTGCTCAGACACTTCAGCATTTGGAGTACTTACCCCAACCCAGCAATCATGGAACTGCAACCGGTTGAAGGCACCCGCAAAGGTTCTGTCTTTCCTGAGGAACTTTGTGACATAGGCGTCCACAATCGCAGCTGCTTGAGGACAAGTTTTTTCATAGAAGTCCTCTGAAAGGCCGACGGCATAGGGACTCTTTGCCTCACATGCGCACAGTGTTGCAAAAACTACGACGGCCAAGAGAACCGCATTGCGGTAGTCGATGCTTGCAGATGCCATCATTACCTGCTTGAAAATCAGATGCAGCCATATCAATGGAGAGGAGTGAAACAATTGCAGAGAGTAGGAAAACTAGTGAAGCAAACCATCTCATGTTCTCAGTCAAATGAAAAAAGTTTTGAACCGTCTGTCTGAAATATGGATTTGGAAAATTCCTTCAGAAGCATGCTTGAATTATTAAGCAACACCATGAGTGAACTCGAAAGAATTGCTGCATACAGATCCGCACCTGTTGTGGCTGATGGCAATCGTTGCAAGAAATCACAATTGGGCTGGAAGAGTCAGCCGGTGATGATAAACTTCTGCAAAATGCATGCATTTATAGTACTCTTGCCATCCAGTAGTGAAGGCTAGCGAAGGCTGGCCATGATCTCAATCATGAATAGGATCCCTATCATTCAGGAGTAAGAACTGCTCTGAATAGTGTCAGCAGAGGAAGGTTGGCATCATAAGTCAACTTGGAGTGAGATCTTCACATGATTCTGATGTCCAATGAGACAATGACTAGATCCATGCCTGGAAATGTATATTATACATGCGCAGCCTGCATGGTATAAAGTCGGTTACGCGCCCATATCTGAAAACATTGCCTTAAAAGACAGCTTTCATTCTCATCCTCGATCGATCCTTCACTTGTACCTGCTGCTTAAGATCTTATCCTTCCCATAAGCAACTTCCTTCCAAGATAATGAAAGCCTGCGTGCCAGTATTTTATTCAATCAGGACGATCCAAAGTGTGAAGCCTGATAGAACACTAAGCATTCAGCTTAGAGGAAGGTGAATGTTTTTTCTGGGTGAATGTGTCCAGATTTTGCACATGCCAGACCAGGATCAAGGGCAACGAAGACCTCACAAAAATTTTTCCTTTTTCCAATTTCTATGCGAATACAAATTTTGCAGTATTTATCGTGCACTTTGGATACTCAAATCTCCAAAATATCAAAAGCGACGGAGCTAAAGTGAGTTATGATCAGCAAAGTGCGGTGATAAAATGATCTTTTTCGTCCCGCCCTGAATAGATAACCTCGAGCTGCTCAGATGACTTATTTCTAGAGGTGAGCAAAACGATCTGATGCTTCATTCCGTTGGCAAGAGTTTAAGATCATCCATGCAAGGGTTTCAACACCAGAAGATTACAACCATGATGCTGAGCGCCAACGACCAGTTCATTGCCCATGCTTTATCGTGCTACTACAGGATCACCTTTTTTGAAAAACTGTGAACCCGTGATTGCAGGGCTCTGTACTGTTCTGCTTGCCTGAGGATACGGCACGAGCTGCATGAAATCAATCTATCCACCACCAGCTTCAGAGCATGCTGGCTCCCTCCTGCCGATTCACTCTTCACGTACTGTTCTTCACGCCCGTCACTCTCGAACCTTTCAGATGCCCTTCAGGAATCATGGGCTACGTGATATTAGAAAGGCTCCGAATCCGACTTCCCCTCTCATCTTGCTCTGGATTCTGGATGAAAAAGTGGAAGACAACAATTTCTTGCAACTTACGTTCAAATACACGATTTGAAAGAATTCAATCCTTCCAGAAGGTACAAGAAAGGACTGTAAAAATTTAGCTACATGACTCTTAAGAAAGAGTAAGTTTATCATGAGAAATGACCAATATGGCGTGGCATTGCAGCTTCAAATGAGACTGTCTAAGAACACGGAGACAAGTCAGCACAATTTGTTTGAAGATACACGGGCAGAGCTGGATGTACACGCATAGAGAAGATTAGAGATGAACTGCCGGACTTTACTTTTATGAACATTTTTTTAACATTATATGGAGTGCTTCATGGGTGCGGAAAAAGTCAGGAGAAGACTTGGTCGTGTAAACATGAAATTTACTGTATCCACGCTGTATCCACGCAGTATGCCATGTTTTTATTTTCTCCGATGCTACATCCGATTTGCAGGGTCCATTGATTAAAATATTGTTTCGTGTTTGTACCTTACATAACAAATCTGCGGTATGACGGAATAGCTATGATCGAAGCTCTTATATAACACTGCAATAGAGATTTCCCGTCGCTGACTTGGTTTTGGCTCCCGCATGTCAGTCCTTTGCATCATCTTTATGTAGCTGTGGAATACTCTTCGTAAAAAGATTTGTACCTGTAGGTTTGACAGCGTTTATTTGATGTTTTCTTCCTTAACTGCACTCTCGTATGTGATTGGCATGTATTCCATGATATATCCCGGGGACCTAAGACGACTATTTGTTTACAGCTCCTGGATTTCAGACTACATTCCCTTAGGAGACAAGAAGTCTGTATGAATTGTAATGAAATCCTGTGAATAGCATGTAGAGACAGATTTGGAGAACAGAAAGAACACTTAAAGAGGCGTGAAGTGATTGCAGAACTTTAGCTTACCTTTCTACCGTCATCATTGCAGTCGACCAAGACAGACTGGTTGGAATCTGGGAGAACATGCACAGTATTCGACATCGAACTCATTGTTTACTTTCTTTCCGAACTTGAAATTTTAGTGTTTATTGTCTCTGACGTCAAAATTTTCTTGTAGCATGAATTGGCATACGCTTCCATGAGTTTATGCGGCTGTCTGTCAGAGGGAGAATTATAAGCAGCGAAGTAAGTGTTCGCCTATCCCTGCAAGGGTCCACAGTATTTTATGTGCTGTGCTCGCCACTGCACGCGAACGGTAAGCGTACAGTCCTACGGAAGACATCAACCAGCTTCACGCTACGGACAGCAAAGATACTGATTGATCCATTTGTGTGTACAAGACCTCGCTTAAAGGAGACTTCAAGTCCGATGGAAAAGACTTTCCTCGGGGCTGGTACAAATTATGGCACTAGACCATTTTGATCTGGATTGTCTGGAAGACTTTATTCTTGGACTCCGTCCGCCAGTTTTATGCGTATAAGTGAAGCTCGCGAATGATAAACTTCAATTTGCCTTATACTCCTCGTCAGCAAAAGACGATAAATTAGGGACAATTGTTTCGTGCAGTCGATTATGACACAACCCGAAGTTGGAGACAATAACTACACCTGCATCTATCTGGAGTCGAGTCCTTCGGCAGCGACTCGCGAGAACCCGCTGAAGTGGAAAACTGGTAAATGATGTCTGTGAGAAGATCTGTTGGCTGAGCTCCATGTATGGAAAACTGGTAAATGATGTCTGTGAGAAGATCTGTTGGCTGAGCTCCATGTATGGGACCGAAGGATATCATGTTCAACCCCGGACTTGCATTCGCAAACACCAGTAGTCCTATTTTCAGTAAGCAGATAACCGGATAATTGTTCAGGTTTTCTCTATCGACCCCGTCAGACAGTAGTGTGTCAGACACTCCGTGCCCCCAAGGAACGTAAAGCTTCATACAATGAAGCTAATTACAATGATGCGTGACGAGCGGACATTATGGGGAAATTGTATGTGGGACACATCACCTGGCCTCCGTTTTATGGAGAATCTCTACGTTAGCCTTTATTTTATCAATCTGAGCACTCTGAGCCCAAAGTACACGTGGTCTTGCCTCTCTGCTTGGCTATCTACATAGGAGATCAGAAAGCCAGAACTGTGAGAAATATGAGTTGATATGACAATCGGAAAGGAAATAAGATACAGTACTGAGATATACATATATACAAGATACAGGTACTGTTTTCAATTGCAAACATTTTTCTGATGATTACTAACATAAGTAAGTTCATGGGCTGGAATTGGGTAGCAAAATTATAGAATCATTACCTTCTGAGGTTATGATTATATGATATCTAACAATCATGTTTCAAAACATAAATCCTTAAGGCTCTCATTCCAACTCTACCCCTAATTCCTGGTTGTACTAACAACAAAATAAGACTTAACTGCAGTTGCGAATGCTAAAGGGGTTAACTGGAAAATTGGCTTTATAGGCTATATCTGACCTTGCACATCAGTTTCTACTTGACGAAATAACCACTACATATGTAAAGTTCTGACAGTTATTACTCCATCCGTTCACCTCAGATGCATCACACTGGTAAAATACAACTTATTGAGACCACCCACTATGCATCAACTTCTTTTACTATATTTTTTGCAGCTTTTAACCCCTTGTTAATTATTAATTCCTAACTTTTCAACAATAAAGCTTGTGTGTGTGGTATTCAACGAAGTTCTTACTTTGTGATCCTAATCGGAGCAGCATCGAACTTTGATGAGTTTAATACTGTATTAAATTTAATTAAGTCTGTATAGTAATCTAACGGACATCCCTTAAATCCTCTAACGTTGACACGTGTCTACCCACACGAGGCTTCATTGCAGCTCCGAATCAACACAATCGAAGGACATCAAAGTGCACTGTGAAAATTGAGTGAAATTCACATTGTGTCAGTCAATCTGCATTAGACATTGAAAATCGACTCTGCGTAGTAGCGGATTCCTATAGTATCGAACTGCAGCGAAGTCAAATGCTCGAAGCAAACCGAAGCAAATTTCAGCGACTGATTTCAAGAACGCACTCATTAAAGATAAGAAAAATTGCTGTCGTAGAATGAAAAGGAAGTAAAATTGCAGTCGGCGACTTTAGTGTCACTCGGTGAACATTTAATATCGAACCTTATGGTTCTTGTTATATTTCAGTTAGGCGTGAGTTTGAGGTAATGGTTTTTCTAGTACAGTTTAGGAAACACTTCAGCCTTTAGGCATGTGAGCACAAAAATGCGTTCACATGTCTTTTTAACCTTATGAGAGTTTAAATTTTGGATTTAAGCTCTTGCAAAATTATGCTTGGAGTTTTTTGAAAATTTTAGCAAGATTAGGAGTTGGTGTAATGGCTAGGAGGTGTGGTAGCCTAGTTTTTCTTTTCTTTCTCGGAATGAGAAGTTTAAGAAATATGATATAGTAAATTCCTTGTAACTTTTTCAATTAGTAACGCCCTGATTTACTTAAGGTCTTGATGGATAGAGCTCAACACACTTGTTCTAACGAGCCCAAGAACTTTTGAAACGGAAAAATAATCACTGAGTTATGAGTGTCGAAAGTGGCTCATATGGTTAGGCGAAGAGCCTTCGGGGCAAGGCCTTTGGCGGTAGAGTGCCTTTGGCGCAAGGGCCTTCGGGGCAAGGCCTTTGGCGGTAGAGTTCCTTCGGCACAAGGGCTTTCGGGGCAAGGCCTTCGGCGGTAGAGTGCCTTCGGCGCAGGGGCCTTTGGCGCAAGGGCTTTCAGCGGTAGAGTAAAACTTTCATAACTTTTTCAATTAGTAAGGCCTTGACTTAGTTATGGTCTTGATGAATAGAACTCGACACGCTTGTTTTACGAACCCAAGAACTGTTGAAACAGAAAAGT